GCATGTCCATGTTTAGGCCCAGGATCAGGAAGTGCCTCAGGTGCACGTCCATGTTTAGGCCCCCGGATCCGGAAGTGCCTCAGGTGCACGTCTGTGTTTAGGCCCAGTATCAGGAAGTTCCTCAGGCTCACGTCCATGTTTAGGCCCTGGGTCCGGAAGTTCTTCAGGTGCACGTCCATGTTTAGGCCCCGGATCTGGAAGTTCCTCGGGTGCACGTCCATGTTTAGGCCCTGGATCCGGAAGTTCCTCGGGTGCACGTCCATGTTTAGGCCGCCGGGTCGCAAGTATCTTTTGATAGCAAAATATTCTTGCTAACTTTCCTCCTTCCCTTTGTACTATTGCTGTTATTTCACTTGAGCTTTAATCACCAAATACATTGTTACCATCAATACCATTTTGAATTATTTCTGTCAGATCAAGAATAAGAAGAACAAAAATGTTTATCTCACCTTCATTTATCCACTTCCCTTCTTTAAGGTTCTGAATTATATCACTTTCCTTCTCCCTGAAGCATTTTAAAAATTTTTCTTGTGAGGCAAATCTAGAAGCAACAAATAACCTCACTTTTTATTTAAGAAAGTCTTTATTCCTCCACTAGTAGAGGACCAGTTAGTGGGATACAGAGTTCTAGGCAGGTGTTTTGTCCTCTCTCCTCACACTGCCACCTGGAGAGGAACCAGGCTGCAGTATGAGCAGAGGAAACATTTATTTGACAACAGAAATCGTACTTTGGGCACCCGGCCAAGGGTGGACCCAAGGCACGTTCCCCTGGGGATCCAGGGAGAGGATCTGCAAGGATCCAGTGGACAGGAGCCTGACCTTCCTCTGCTTGCTCTGAACCCTTTGGATTGGCTGATGGGGCTGAGGGAGGGGGTGCAGGGCAGTTTGGGTGCGGTGGCAGACGGCCTCACGGGCTGCCGACTGCACAGTCACCGTCACTCGCTGGTTCACCGTTCAAAAGGACAGAGACAAGGCAGAGCCTGCTGTTGGCTTTAGGCAAGCTCCGCATTTTCAATGTTCCCCGTCCTCTTCTCGCCGGCATCATTTCTGAGGAGCCAGATCCAGTGCTCATCTCTGCTCTTCCTCATAGCTGAGGTGTCCTTTCCCTCTGTCTTCCTGCAAGACTTCTTCCTGCCCTTGACTTCCACTCACAGGTGACATGCCTAGTGTGACTTTGTTGCTTCTGCTTTCACATTTACCTGCGGGGTGTCCTCTGAGCTCCTGGGTTCTGTGGTTTAGTGTCTGACATTAACTTGGGGAAAACTCTTAGTCATTGCCTCAACTATTTCTTGTATGTATTTCTCTTTTTCTGATATCGCCGTTATACATGTTAGACTTTGCAGTTGTCCCTTGGGTATTCTGTTCTTGGATCTTCTGTTCCACCTGTTTTTCTCTCTTCAACTTTTTGTTTTAGAAGATTCTATTCGTCTATCCTCCAGCTCACAGTCTTTCGAGGGGGACGTTCGTCTGTTAACAAGCACATTAAAGAGGTATTTTTGACCTCTAGCGTCTCTTTCTAATCCTGGCTCTAGTTTCCGCCTCTTGGCTTACCTGAGCATCTCTGCTTGCTGGTTTTTTCTTTAGAGCCTAGTAATCACAGCTGTTTTCAATTCCCCATGTCAGTGGCATGTCAGTCTGGATCTAGTGCACACGCTGACTTTTCAAACTCTGTTTTCTGCTTCTAGTACACCTTGTAACTTGTCCTTGAATACCCAACATGCCGTCCCAGGAAGGGGATTTAAGAAAACCCAACATGCCATCCCAGGAGGGATAAGCTGTGGGGAGAGGAAGCCTTCCCCAGTCCTGTGATAGGTCTCAGTGTTCCAGTGGTCTGTGCCCATAAGACGACTAGAAAGGCCTGAAATCGGG